ATATGTTCATAATTACTAGGAATGTCCCAACACATAATATGCTTTTAAGATAAAACGTAGCTGCACATGAAGTGGTCCAGACTCTTTCGAGTTCTTCATGGTGAGGAAAGAACTCGGACACCTACCCTATAATAACTCTCATATATATCTAATACTTGTGCCTTCTCAGTTCTCAGACACAACTCCCTCCTCTTGTATCTACATTATTGCTTCTCCACACATATTGCCTTTGCCTGCTTCCGGCCGCCAGCACCGGATTCCTGCCGACATGTCGCCTTTATCTGCATTTGCACCTGCACTTTATCACTTTTTGTTCTCTTTCTGCAATTTTGAACCTCCCTTGCCATAGGGATGCATGAGGAAGAAGGTATAGGATTTTGGGAAAGACCAAAGCACGAGGTGCAGGTGCATCTGCAGGTGAATGCCATCTCGGCTACCAATATTTATAACTTTTCTCTGGTCTGAACTGAACTACATGTACAAATCTTTGGATGTTTTCAAGTTTTTGGCAGAAGCCGGAAAACCCAGACACGTACGGCCCTCTTCATCCGGATTGACTCGATTTCAAATTGGCCTCTTCAGGTTCTCAAGTTCTCCCCCTCTTATTTTCTGCTTACCGCAATTTATATAACTTACGCTGTCGTTTTGCGTGTGACTTCCTATTCGAGCTGTGAGCTGGCGAGTGAAAGAAAAGTACTTTCGCCGCCGAGCCACAAGTTGAATGGCCCATTATTATTTGCTACTTTTGTATATGCAAGTGCAGATCCAGATCCACATATGGAGCTGGCGCTGAAGTTTGTGTTTTATGCTAACCTCAAATTTTGATCCAGAGGGTAAGTCTTAATTATTAAGTACATAACTGCTAATGTTCTCTCTACACAAGGGATGGTTTAATTAATCCAAGGGCAAATATAATCATGAGGAAAGTTATGCCTGCAGAAGATAGTGAATGGTAGGGATCTAATAACGGATTTTAGGACCTCGGCAAAAGGAGAATACTACTAAAATTCATAGTTCTGCGACTTGATTGACTGAGTTGTCTTCCTTGCGATATCGATCTGTGCTTTGTTCATGAAAGCGACTGAAGTACAATGTTTTAGCTAGCAACTTGGTGGTGTTTGTTAGAAGGCTTTATGACAAGTGGCAGCACCCGTAGCATATATTTGATTATTTTCACAAGACAAACTATGGGAAATGAAACCCTGGGTTTCCTCCTCTTGTCTTCTTCTCTTGTTTTCTAATGAGTCCTTAGTTGTTTAGTTTTCTTTTAGCCAGCTCTTGTAACGACAATTATAAGATCGATTTGCCTTGGTAACGGATTCGGACAATCATGAAGATTGAGTTGTGTTTCTATAATTGGGATGGCCTTTGAGATTTGATCTGCATCTCTTCATTCTCTCTTCTCAGCCCCAGAAAGGAAGAAGGAATTAAACCAATGCTGAAAGTGCTAACACTAAAATGATAAATAATAATACATATTACACGGAGCACGGACAGACTTTATGGCTAAAGAGGTAAGGCATCATTAAGGTTTTGTATGTATTGATTTTGAACATTGAAAATGCTTCCAAGTTCTAAAACAGCGAGAGACGACATTTAATGGCAGCTCTGGGACTTTGGCTTGCGTCTAGAAAGACCATATAACAATAAAAATTAAATACTAACATATTGGCTTACTTTCATTTTCTAACACCGGGAGCCACGAAAGGTAACATTACATACTGCAAATAGCTGGGACAAGTTTAATTTTATAATTCTGTTTGGTACAAACCATTGAAAATGAAGGATATAGATTATGATTATAATTGAAAAAAAATTTATTCAAAGAGAGTTTAACATAAGAGATTACTTATTACATGAGATTAGACAAACTCATATATGTGGGAGTGGAAAATACTATAGAAGGAAGTGATATGTCCCAATTTTACCTTTATGAGTTTGTCTAACCTCATGTAATAGATAATGATTCATGCTAAATATTTTTTAGTGATTTTTCTCAATTACAATCTCAGTTCTTATTTCTTATTTTTAATGTTTTGTACCAAATAGGACTCATGCATTTAATGGCCACGCACTGCGGTATACTGGCGGCTAAGAGCTGGCTGAATTGGTTAACTGCGGATATTGGTACCAATTAATTCGAGAGTGTGTTCATAACATCGTTAAGATAGGTACAGGTTCAGACAGAATATAAAGTAAAGACATTAAATTCAGAATCTTGAATTTCAAAGGGTTGCAGCTTACAAAGATAGTAGTCAAATGTTAACTTGATACATATAACTGATCCAGTCCAGGCGCCAAAACCGATTACATTTTAAATCTTGTTGGTCGATGATTTCCAAGCAGTAGTTAGTTAAACTTCAATTGCAGGAACAATCAAAACAGAAGATTTTGTTCTAAGTATGTCTATCTAATTTAATTCGTCAAAGGAAAAAAGGCACACGCAGGCATATTTAAAAACAAAACGAAAGAAAATAACTTATTCGTGCGTTTAGTTATAACTACACACACACAACGGAAAAGAAAGGAAGTATAAAATCTCTACTTTCTTGTCGCATAGATCAGTACTCTAAATTGGCTCCTCTATATGTGTCTCTATATAAATAAGCTACACTGGAGACACACACATAACGGCTCCTTGAATTCGAAACTATATAAAAGGGATAAAGAAAATTCTTTTAAATAGTTTGATATATCATATTTTGAGGGGGAAAAAAAGTGACTTTCAATTGGATGTAGGACAAGAGCTTTGCCAGAGATATTTTCTGCCCTTCTCTTCTTTATATTTATATGTTGAATTCGATTCTGATTTTTGAAGTTTTGACGGACCAAATCATACTACGGTTGATTGAGACTTGATCATCAATGCTTTCAACTCTTAACCTTTTATCTTATACTTTTACTCAAATCACCAATACTGTTTTCTCATTCGGAAATACTACTATTGAATTTAAAAAGTTCTAAAATTTAGCCGCATTAAAATTAGTTCTTTTTCTGTAAAGGCATTAAAATTAATTCTTGGACGGGATATCTACTCCCCCTATTCTGGGTGTATCTTCAAAGTAAAACTGAGATCATAGCATTTCATTGCCAGCAAACAAAATATCAATATAAAAGTTGTGTCCCTTCGGGGATATCCGATATAAAAGTTATGAAATACTACCTTCAGTCCTAAATATAAGAGCGAGTTAACTAATTTGAGTAAATTAAGAAAACAAGTTAAGTTAGTTATTTGTAATAAATAGGTGTTATCTTTCCAAACATATCATTGCTAATCAAGTTTGTTGGTTAGAACTATTATTATTAGAAGGACTTGAAAAAAATGAATAAATATGAGAGGTAAAATGGATTGGGATCTTATATCTAAGATCAAAATAAAAATCAAACTAAATTTTATATTAAGGATCGGACAGAGTAATAAATAATAAAAATACGGGAAAAAAAACTCCTTTACAGTTTCTCACCACACTGGGCCTGGAAATGTTATTGGCCGACTGTTAACTCCCCGGCGCCTTGAACAAAAGGTGGGAGTTCCTTCTCCCTCCGTTTCTTGCCGAACCAAACGAAGAACCTCCAATTTTCGCGGCACGCCACCAAGAAGATCCGTCATTATAACAGAGCAGTTCCATGGTGAAGCAAATTACAAAAGTTCTCTTGAATTCAATTTCAGCTCTTCCCGCCACCCGCTTTAATAGAGTTGTAAGTCTATCTTTCTTTATTTTCACAGTCATTAACTTTCCCGTTTGAAGCCTACGGCGATCATAAAATTGCAACTTCTTTACGTTTCGAAAGATATCAACTTTCATGTTTCTTCTTATTCAGAGCTATGACAATTAATTTGGGAATGATTGACGAAGTATATCTTACTGATGAATTTGCCAATTCCCCCCCCCCCCCGGGGGGGGATTTGGCAGTACTTTACTTAAGGGACATCTGGTGTGTCATTCAGCGTCATAATATATTTTCCCATCACTATTATGTTGAAAACTGATTCAGATTAGTTCAAGTGTTTGCCATAATGGTTTGAGATACTCAACTTCAGTGCCAGATGGTCCTGCGTCTCATGAAGATTTAAAAAGCGTTGTGGAGAAGGTATCGATAGATTCGCTCACTAGACTCTATCATGTTCATGAGGCACAATTCAGTTTAGTCCTTGTTAAACTCAGTCAAAGTTGGTTGATCGAGTCGGTTTTTGTACAGGATATCAAGGATAATTCTGTGATGATTTATATGAAGGGGTTGCCTGATATGCCTCGTTGTGGGTTTAGCTCACTTGCCGTTCGAGTATTAAAAGTATACGGTAATCATTTTTTTGATTGCTTTCGTCTCAAGATACCGAAGTTATATTTGTGTCGGATCATGGTAGTTCGAGACTAATGCCTTGGAAGAAAGATTGTCCTTTTATTTAGTTAAACGAAGAAACCGAGTTTTTAGTTTACCAGTAATCCTGGAGAGAGATATGCATGCCAGTGCTTTAAACTACGTTGATGGAATTCATTCATTTTTTTTTGTAATTAAAATAAATAAAAAGGACAATCTTTTCCATGGAGTTGTTATAATCTATATATAACATAGAAACTCTGACAAATATTCGTATTTTCTCAAATTTCATGCAATGCATGGCATCCATATTGCTTATCTTTCTATCGTGGTCATTTTTTTCTTAACATGATTGTGAGCCTTGCAGATGTTCCTTTCAGTGCTAGAAATATTTTGGAGAATCCAGAGCTGAAAAATGCTGTAAAATCCGTCAGGTATTTTCCGATCTATAAGTTGTTAAAGTCTCATGGCGGGTCTTAATTGCTGCCTTAGAAGCTTCAGATCTTCAGGGCGATTTTGATCACTTGGTCTGTTTTAAATCATAACAAGTATCGCACTTCCTTGGCATGTTTTTTTCTCTGGATATCTATTGCATCTGTCAGATTGAAGGAATGTATAGTTGATATTGTGGCAGCCTCTCGCCTTCATGGATGGATGAGTGTGATTAACCATCTGCAAGATTTATGAATTCATGTCCGTCATAGGAAAATGTGCTTTTCTGCAGGCTTTACTATGCTTTTACCGTCCAGAGTTAGGCCTATTGCAGTGTTCAGATTTTTGAATATCTCTAGTTTCTCACCATTCGTATAGGAATTTTCCCTATATGCCAGCAGAAGGTTGCCGCGTAAAAAATGGTCTCAATTAATCATAACTAATGTTTCCTTATTGATTTAACAAGTGAACATAAGTTATGCAAATTGGCTAGTTATGACTTTGACTCTCGCTTCTGCAGCAACTGGCCAACTTTTCCCCAAATATTCATCAAGGGAGAATTTATTGGGGGTTCGGATATTGTTCTCAATATGCACCAGGTTACTTCTTTAAGTTGGAACTTCCCTGCTTTTTATGCTCGTTTGCCTTCCAGATTCCGAATTTCTAATATGATGGTTTTGAATCCGCAGACTGGTGAACTAAAGGAAAAACTCAAAGATGTTGCAACAAAGCAAGAGGAGTCCTAGTAAGCTGATTTGGTGGAAGGAGCCACCTAGACTATGTATAGTAAAATTACTGACTGAGGATGACAGAGAAGGAAGATGGTCGTGTCAACTTCTAGTTGTTATTAGAGCTGAAAAATAAGGCTCTTGGAAGTGTTCTTCGTGCGGCCAAGGTAAATGAATGAAATGTACCATTTTACGTTTGTACATCTGAAGAAACATAAGAATCAGGAGTGAAAGAGCCAATGCACAGATGTTCAGGTTTTGTTGGATTCACACTAGATATTGCTTACGGTTTAAGACAATGGTTTGCAAGTTGAGTAGAAGCAAATTTTGCTCAAGGGCACATTTGTACTTTTTTGTTTCTGCAAATGCCTTGCCTGGTTTCAGATCATAGCAAAATTTCTTTTACATATGGCTAAATATATTAATACAAGCACGAATCAGTGAACACTGTTAGCATGAATAAGAAACAGGTAAATAATCTCGATGCATCTTGTTATCATCTCAAATTTACAGAGAATAAAAATTATCACACTTGTTTGTATATTTGAATTGTACCCTTGATGCAGATTAAAATGAGCTTTCCGGTGTCCTGTTTCTTGCTAGACTTAAATTTCTCATAGAGCTCGGACGTTCCATGATAGATTGGTCCTAATGTGCAATCTCTGCAATGTAAATTAGACTTCCTAGCTGTAGTAAGGGCCCTATGTCCTCTTTAGTATTGGACCATCAATGATCAATGAATGAAATTAAACTAAAGTGCGTACAAAATTTATTGATATTCCACCCACTTTTACTTTCTTTGAATTGATTTGCCTCAAGTCCTAACCATGGGCGCTCCACAGAGTTAAATTTAAAAAAAAATTAACAAATAAGGCATAAAAAGATGGAATAAAAGGACAAAATACACAGTCCAATACAAGCCAAATATCTCGACTCAATGTATTATACAATAGCGAAGTGGCGTTTTACAACATTTATAAATATACAGTCAGACGTAGATCTAAATTAGATGTGGGCCAAGTGTAGCTCAATCTCATAAGTAGATTAAACTATTTGTGACCATATTTCTTATAAGTTACTATATTGATTGTTATAGGTGCAGAAATAGTTAAATGATCATAATGTCATCGTTGAAGTTTATGGAAGACACCGCTAGCCAGGGGACCGATCGGAGTTCCTTTTGCTTTTATTTTCCGGAGGTGACGTTTATTTCTAATTATTTTCAGTCATGCTTCTCATTTATTATATCCATTTCGAGTCCCAAGTCCCAATTCTCAATTCTGCACGCTAGACAACAATAGCCTATGACATGATTCTGCTCACGGGTTGAATTCGTGCAAGCATATGCATGTCATCATTTGGTGGTCAATTATCTCAGAAAAACCCAACCTTCACCCTTAATTAATCAGGCCCTGCCCTCTAAAATACGCAATCTTTGTAACATGCAGACTAATTGCGGGGTTAATCTTATGCCATGTTTATTTTGCACGTGAATCAATGTATCTCACTAAAAGTCTGGGGAGGGACAGACTCATATCTACGAGCCACTAATGAATCAATATAGTTAGGTGGGGCAGGAACCAACAGCTCAGGTTTCTTGGTTCCTCGTGAATTTTTAGATTTCAGCTTAAGCATAATAGCCGAAAGAAGATAAAATCTGCAGAGTTATGGACCTAACTTAAGCCTCATATCATCATGTATTTGCTCTGCGTGACCACTGAAGTAGGAAAGCGTCATCTCACCAGAACCCCTGGCTTCAAGCATCCCCCTCCCCACCTGGCTACCTAGCAGGAGTAGTAGCAATCACCAGTTAATAATGAATGAAAATGATATGCCCTTTTAATTTACCCACTTCCATTGAGCCAATTGATGACCTGGCATTGGCTTTAGCTTCCTTTTTAAATGCTTCGTGAATAAGGCAAAGAGACAGCACCTCATTCCCCTTAATTAATTATGTGGGACACACAAAAATACCTAATGGCTCATATAATTATCTGCGACGACAGTTGCCACCTCTGCAATTACATTACATGTCTATTGATGATGGCAACGTAGGAGATAAGCATTCTCACATAACCAGTTAACTGCTCCATTAAGTAATCTGCCTATTGGTACGTACGGAACCTGAATGCTTATCTGCCCAAATATCTCTGGCCACACTATTTTTCCCGGCTCCAACACATATAAACTCATCAACTTTGTGGCCTCAACATACAAATTCTTAGCCACTTGTGGAGCCTGCGCCTATGTTCCAAGGTGGTCGGCGAATAAAATATATGTGTCAATTTCATATGATAGTACTTCTAATCTCATGGCCTTGATTTATTCATCCAGACTTTTATAATTTGAACTCTTCTGCTTCTTACATATGTATGTAGATGAAGCAGGAATTTTAGACCTTGCCGTGTACGAGACTTGTTAATTATAAGATATACCACTTCACATACTTTACGATTTTCTACTCTCTGCTTTCTCCATATACTAATCAATAATAAGGAGCTATCATCACCGTCCATTATGGGCCAGTGAATCTTTCGTTTAACGTCTCTGCCTTCAAAAGCTACTTACCTGTCAAAGGTAGAAATTAGAATAACCTCCAATTCTAGATAATTCCCAAGTAAATAGATGCACGCTCGTGGTTAAATAGTTATTCTCCAATTATAAATGTGTAAGTTGCGACTAGTTTATCGGATAAAAGTTGAACTAGCCTGCCGAAAACTGGTCTTGGGTGTTCATGTATGTAGTAGATAAAATCAACGTCATACTTTAAAATTGAACGGGTCAAGCGATAAGAATGTGTAATTGAAATGATGGTATAAGGTTGTATCTAATTGAACGGATCAATAAATAAGAGGACGAAAATTGACCCACCACTTGTCTGTGATGTGAAAGGTTGACAAATTATTTTGATTATGTTTTCGGTTATCCGCGTTAATTGATATTTTTATGGTTTGTGATAAAGAAAGCAATTTTGCAATAATTTTTTTTTGGGGTGCTTCATGTAAAACACCACAGATATTGACATTTGCGTAACATTAACATAGAAAGATGCGACTTAAATATATCTCAGTTTGTTACTATAGGTAAAGCTTTTGCACTAAATACCAATTGATTCTGTCTGGCTGAAATAATAAAGTACTCCTCCAACTTGACACTTTTTTTCATTTAATATAACTGGCTAACTCCGGAATAAAAATTGTTCAGTCAATAAGATTGACATTGCCTGGTGGGAGGAAAAAAAAAAAAAAACAGGCTTGATATTACATCTCAGTCAAAGAACAAGATCTTGTCATGTGATGTATAAGATTTTATTTGGAAAATAAGAAGAAAGAGAGCAGGAGATTTGTTTAGATGGATCCTTTTTTTTTTTTTCCGGAGGGCAGAGCAGCCATTTTAGGGATGAAATCATGCAAAGTTATGTGCTTATAGAAGCAGAAGGCGAAGAGGTGTCCAACAACTGTGGTTTACTTTTCTTTCTAAAATTGTTATCCTCACTTTCTCAGTAACAGCGACCAAGTTGTCAAAGCCTTTCTCGTCTTTCCGCTAATATATATGCAGCCTAGTGAATATATTCAAGTCCAATTTCGGAGCACAAAATGGGACATTCCAAAAGTTTGTTTTTAGAGAAGTGCAGACTGTTATTTCACATATTTTAGAAACCATAAAAAAAGTTTATTAGATTTAAAAAGAGCCACCATCATGAACATCTGTCTGTCTGTGTTTGTTTGTGTTGGCAATGGAATTAATGGAGCTACATGCGGGATCGAATAATAATAATAAAAAAGGAATAAGATGGGCGATTTTCAAATGAAACCAGATAATCCGAGCTCAGAGGCTAGCTGTCATCCATGCATTTGTTCCACTAGACTCCTGAATCTTCACACGGACGTAGATAGATGTCGGCCATGATGTTACTTTGATTAACACCTTGTTTTTATGCCACTTTATCTTTCATCCTCCATAATTTCATTCCCATTTAAATTCTTTAATTCCACGTCAAGCCATATATTCAATCAAGCAAGCAACTATTTTTCCTTATTCACGTTCTTCACATCTCTAAATACTCCATAAAACTTCACACCCACAAGTGAAGTCATCTATGATTGTGTTATCTCTGAATCTTTCTCTCTACGGCTCTCCCTCGCCTCCTCTTTACTACTTTTGCTTGAAAAAGATATTATTTTTTTTGAGACGTCGGTTTAAATTTCAACGTTGCCATTGGGGAAGAGTTTGAACCTAACCAACCTGATGCCGTTAAAAAAAAAATTGTAATAAGAATGTTCGTTGGCGGGTACTAATTATTCGGAGTAGCTTGTTGTAGGGGCAAAAGACAAAGCAGCAAGTTCTAACGCGGTCTATGATATCTTGCGGCTAATCAGAAAGGGAAGGGAAAAAAAAATTAACTGCATAATGCTAGGATGGATTTTGGTTTGAACGTACGTATTGATTATTCTCAGTATATTTGCACCACTGTAAGAAAATAAACGACTTGTAATAGCAATTCTGTTCTCCACGCCTATGGTATTCTTCTCTAGGGCCAAAAATTCAAGTTTGAACAGACTCAGATCCTTCCCTGTCACTGTTTCTTGGTTCTTACTTCTTCCCACACCAGAAACCGAAAATCTCTACCCAACCGCTCCTCCTCCACCTCTCAGGCTCAGCCTCTCATCACCATCTTCCTGGTGCTTTTATTCTTCCATTTTTAAATGAAATGGCGGAGCACCAAAGACTCCCCCAAGAACAGGGGTTTCTATCTTAAGATGAAGCTCCTCCATAAACATACCAGACCTCCTCCAGAAAAAAGCTGCTTCTTCAGATATTACAAATGGTTTCTCTGGCTCTCCTTATCTCTCTATTTCTTCTCTTCCTGTTTCATCACCAATAATAATCCCCCCACCGACTCTGACTCTACCCACAAATCTCAATCCACCCTTCTGTCTAGCCCTCTTATCGAATCCATCAACATCACAGCTCTAAACCCGTCAGGTACTTTATCGATCCCTTGATTTGAAACCATGATTTTTCGTTACTTCTCACACTTGTTTTGATAGTTTATCCGCTCTGTTTTGTATCCTTCTATGTTTGCAGCGGTTCTAAAAGATTTGAAGATATTCGTGTACGATTTGCCTCCGAGATACAACTCCGACTGGCTCTCAAACAAGAGGTGCAGCAATCATTTGTTTGCGTCCGAGGTAGCCATTCACAGAGCGTTGTTGACGAGCGAGGTTCGGACATTGACCCCTACGAAGCTGACTTCTTCTTCGTTCCCGTCTACGTGTCATGCAACTTCAGCACCGTTAATGGGTTCCCGGCGATTGGGCACGCGCGCTCCCTCATCTCCTCCGCCATCCAACTCATCTCCTCTCAATACCCCTTCTGGAACAGGAC